CATTGTCATAATAAGCCTCATAGGAAGGCAGTGAAATCGTGATTGGTGGCTATTTTCACAAAATAGCACCACATTTTTGATTGGGGGTCTAGCTCATCTGGTAGAGCATGTGCTTCGCAGTAGTGGAATTGCACAAGGCACTGGGTTCGATTCCCAGGTCCTCCATCTTTTTTTATCAAAAAGATATTTTATCATAGTATCGTGGGGTCTTTTTTCAGAGATTCCCAGGCCTCCTCTATTCTTTTTGATATTATTATAAATTAGAAAGGGCTTGTAAGGTAATTTATTATAAAGTATTGACAGACTTAAGTTTTTTTTAGTAAACCTAAATTGTCAGGAAACTTGTTTTTGAAAAATTTAGTTCAGAATGATTCAGGCTTGCTCAGGACAGGAGGAGGCGCATGACTAGAATAGTGACCACCTTCTTTACTTTGCCCAATAACTTTTGTCTTAAAGTAGTAGTTTAGTAGAAAGTTTATATTTTAACAGCCAGGCCAAATGTAGACGCACAGACACATATATAATTTACAATTGATTATAAATGAAATTGGTCATTGAAAGAAATGAATACCTGATAAATAATTCAAATTTGTTTCCAAAAAAGATTTATTGTTTTACAACCAACTCAACAAACTATGAGAAACAATAAAATCAATTCACACACAACTACCAAGAAAGAAAAAGGAAAAGAATGAAACCACATTTCATTAATCTGTGTCTCATCTGTAAATCCCATATTCTCTCTTTCTATAAACATACATTACTGACTCTAAAACCTAAGGCCGCCAGTAAAGTATTGTCCAAGCCTCAAGCAAATCTTGACACCAAAGATAACATAAGTTGGCATATATGCAGCTCTTAGGTTTGACTCTGGTGGAAGTGTAGAATCATTGTTAATATCATCCACCAATGCCAATTGTGTATAGTATAAAAGCATATCAGAGTATACAGGAAAGGCACCAGTAAATACACAATAATACAATACGCAAAAATCAAACAATAATAATGAAAGTGGAAGTTCTTCTTTATAGATAGTTACAAACCGAATAATGCACATTAATGCAATTGGTAAAACTGAGGCAGCATGATTTCCTTCACCGATCCAGACACCTAGCACGACGTCAGCCAATATGTAGGCAGCATCAAACCATTCCTTCACAGAGCCTCCCTTATCAGTGTATTGGTGCTTACAACCAATGAACTCATAATATAGATAGGCAGCCAGAATTGCAGTTACACTACAAATAGTGCGGGTTAAGGTTAACTCTACTTCAGGACGAGGAACAAATGATCTGAAGAACTGGACAATGGCACTGGGTTCAGTGGAAGCTTTGTGCAGCCATGTGGTTAGAAGGCTGCACGAAAGGACTATCACTGATATTTGCATGTTGGTAACTCCTGGGTTGAAAGGAAAAGGCGTATATGAGGTGGGTGTGTGTGGGGTTGGTAGAGATTCTCTTGTAGGGTTGTTGTTGTGCTTAGTTGGATATTCAAGAACAGGGAAAGGTTGTTGAGGAGATGGTTCTTACTCAATTTGGGGCCGCTCAGTAGCCTATTTATGCTTTGGAGTTTTTGTTTAGTTTTGGTGGATTGGTAGTGTGGTTGCTTGAAAATTGGTATAAATGTTTTATTGACTGTATAATTTTTTATTTGGTCAATTTCTAAACAATCTTGAACAAAAAAATTGTTTAGAAAGTGTTGAACTGTACTATCCACTGACAATGATTATTACGATATTCTTTTTTGATTTAGACTCATTCTACATTTCAATTTTTTATTTTTTGATCTACAGCAAATCGAATCATACCATTTTGAATTTTGTAAAAATACAGATTTGTTGTTCTACTTGACCAATCCCACTGACCAAAACTCATCATCGCACTCAAGCATCATGTGTTGTTAGCCCTGAAAATAAAATTGTTACCAGTACAAACACATGTCAAAAATTACTAGATCTTAAGTTGAGAGTAGTGTGAGTAGTGGCAAAATATCCCCAGTGAGAGGCAAGCCTAGATTATCTTGAGAACCATGTTATTGATATTCATTCGAATACTGGCAAAAATCCCAATTATGCTGATAAACCAATTCTCATTTTTGCTGAGAACTCTCTAGATCTGCCCCTATATTTGGCTTTTACACAGCCTTTTAAAAAATGGGCGCCCAAGAAATATACCTGAAATATTAACCTATTCAAGTCAAAAATCATGATCTATATGGGTAGCTATTTTTGAAGGGTGTCTTTTGGTGACCAATGATTATAGGGGCAATCCCAGCCAAATGGGTGTCCAGTTTTACTAGTAAACTTTCACCCTTCAAAAATAATCGCCCATATGTTGAAATTTCAATAGTTATTGGCCATAAATGACTGTGTATGGATCCTGTCTAAAACATATATTTATGTGCTATTTTTTGATAATTGTTTTTACAAGAACCTATTTTGGTATAGTGTTTTGTGATTTTTAACCATATAAAAAAGGTAAATACTATAAAATGAGTTGGTATATATGTGTGTAATATAATAAGCGTATACCATACGCAAACGACATGCCTGTTTATATGTTGTACAATTTTTTGCGACTACATTATCAATTCCCACTTTTTCGCAAGAATTTTGTTTTTGGCAACAATGATGTATCAATATCAATATTATTCTGCCTAGATTGGTTTTGTTACGAAACCCTTTTCTTTTTAGCTGATTTGCTAGCTGTCTGGTTATTATTAACGTCTCCACTATTGTCTCCACCTCCTCCCCCACCACTTGGACCTGGTGTTGAGGGTGCTGCTACAGTTTTATTTCCAGCAGCAGTAGCAGCAGATGATGATGATGTCGTTGTTTTTGTGGCTGCTCCAGATGGTCTCTTTTTGCTTCGGGATGATCCTGTGCCGCCCAATGCAGCCAAAGATGCTGCATCTGATGTAAGTGGGTTTGGTGGTGGGTTCTTGGGACGTCCGCTTCCATATCGTGATTTGACTGGCAAATCCTCATCTTCTGGAATTGGCTCCCAGTCGGATGGAACTTCGATGGGAGCAGGAGGTGTTTCGTTCTTTGACTTATCATCAGTTGATTCCTCTTCTTTCTTGATGGTAATAGGCCTGTCTGATGTTGGTGTATCTGATGATGTTTTTTCCATTTCTTTACTGTCAGCCTCTTCTTTGCCATCACGACTAGGCCTCAAATCGGCATTCAATGACTTTCCATTCTTTGCCTCAAGCTTACTAATGATAAAGTCGCGCAACAAACCAATATGGTTGTTTGGCGAACGAACTGATTCCCAGGCTGGCGGTGGAGTGTATGCCAACAAATCCTTATCAGAAGATTCTGCCGTAGTTGTCTTCTTGCCGCCTTGGCCAAACCATAACCGCTTTGGAATATGCGAAAGAGAATCGATACCATACTCTTTGTCCAGACCAAGCTCCTTGAATCCAAAGAAATCTTCTCCAAGTTCTCCGAGTTGACCTGTCATAAACATATCCGTATTCTCGAAATTTCCATCAACAGAATCTGCTCTTGAGCTCTCGCCCATTTCGCTGGTGCCTGCCATGCTTCCGCCATTCATTACCGAGTAATCTCCGCCATAACCTCCGCTTATACCTTCTGATATCAACTCGCGATAGGTTGCTTCGAGCTTCCTATTGACGTCGCTGAGTTTTGCTCCACATCTGCCAATATCGTCATGTATATAATACTCCAAATCCTCGATGGATTCAAGCCCATTTTCGTATAATGAATGCGACAAAATTGCCTCAACTGACATGGTTCTCGAATACTTGTCGATATACGACCGAACTGTTTTTCCCAAGTTAAGGATATAGTCTGTAATGAATTCGGTAAAACATCCAAGAGCAACATTGGTGAGTCCTTCGAATCCAGCATGAGACAACAGAATCGAGCAAGTCCTTTGCATCAGTGCTTTGGCAGACTTTCCATTCATGACAAATGGATGCTTAGGATCAGGCCTCCCTTCAAATGGCGCTTCAAGGTCTACCAGGCTATGGTATTCTGTATCATCACGACCCATTCCACCTGACCCTCGATTCGCGCCATTATTATTCAAATACCCAATAGGAATATTCATCTTTGTAGCCCAAATCTTGTCATCAATGTTGCGAATTTGCTTCAACTGCTCAATGTTTTCAGCAATATTTTTCCACATCTGGTTGTTTGGATATCTAGCCGCCTCATATTCTTCCATATTAGGGGCTTTTGCTTTGGGAAATGATTCTCTAATCAATGTGTTTTTTGTATCTAGAAAATTCCTTTCCATGTTGTCGGACCACATATTTACATCGAGGGGGTACTCAAGTGCATTGGGAATACCAGACGTCAAGTCATATTCTGGGAGATACTCTTTTCCTAAATCCAGCCGTTTCTTTAGGATTTCCAAGGCTTCTCGCCTTTTCTTGTCTAGTGCTTCATTTTTGCGCCTTTGGGCTGCATAGCTACTGTTGTTGCCTCTGCCCCCGCCATGTGTATGATGGTTATGCCAAGTTGTCATTCCCGCACGTGGTGCAGATACGGCTGATGACACAGTATTTGGACGATATACATGGGTTTTTGAATTAGACAAATGCTCATGGCCTTGAGATGGAGTAGAGGCACCAATTACCACATCAGTTATTTCGGACGAACCCTGAATTATTGAAATCTCTTTTGTTGAAATCGTATCAATACAATCGTGGGAATGCTGACTAAACTTGTCCATGTTTTCTGTGGACCTTATCAGAGCCTTGCGGTTAGCAAACTCGATCTCACCATTCTCTATACCACGCTGGAAATTCGAAACTCTGCTTGATCGGGTCCAGGCTTTCCATATCTTTGAAGACAAAGTCTCGCTGTATTCAGAGGCCATCTGTGATAGGGGAATTTCAGTATCAAAATCGTTTAAAAAGTCTGTATCTATGAAGGTATCGTTGTTACCACCATGCGAGTCGGTGATATCCATGGCCATTGATGAGCCATTCCTTTGGTGATTACCACGACCTTCCTCATGCAATGAACCAAATACATTATCACCAAACGAGTCAAATCCTGGGGTATATCCTGACGATTTTATCGATTCGGTATCACCAATTCTATGTACACCAGCACCTCTGTGTGAATCGTCATCCGTGTCCATACCATCACCAATTTCAGTCAACTTGTCTTCTACCTCCATCAATTCTGA